TTTTTTTTCAAATTCTATTTCTTCACTATTTACGAGCAAACTCTCATATGGAAAACTTACTTGTGCCAGATGTTCTTTCGATACTCGATGTACCACTGGCTAAATTTGTCAAACTGCCCGTTGTTAACGTCCCATGTTCGTCGACGCTCTTCGAGTTCTCTTAAATCAAGTCGATTTATATGAGCCCAAAAAAGCACGAAATGAAATGACTCGGAGCTTGTGAATTAAAAAATAGCCGTGGATCTTACTTATGTATATAGACGAAAAGAACATCAAAAAGATCAGCGTAAACTATTAAGAAAGCGCTGTGTGAAATAGCATGAGTGATTGCATAACTGCACATCACTCGAAGAAACTGTTGATTTGTCGCAGAACGAAAAAAAAGTTAAACACACACTGCTACGTTTTTGTCACTCCCCTCCATGGTTTGGATTTAGTTTGTGGGTGCATATGGTAGGATATATTACGCAGAGCAAGATTACAGGATAAGGAAGAAATAGCTCAATAAACCCCAGGCGTGGATATCTGGATATAGATAACAGTTTTTTGCTATTATTTTTATCATACTTTCACTTCCTAATAACTGAACCACTTATTAAGTTTTAAAGCGAACAAACCAAGAAGTTTGCCGTAAAAATTCTTCCAGTTGATGCGCTTTTGTGCCCCAACCTGTTACGATACTGGGGTCGAGTTAATAAGCGAACGCTCGCTCTCCCGTCACGGAAAATATCACATATCCAGAAAATAGCGCGATTGGGCGCGCTTTTATTGTAGTTGCTGATTGAGTCCGATGCAGATATGATGAATGGGAGCATTGCCGAAAAAATAATAGCAAAAAACCGAACGGATGAAGTATCTAGCAACCGAGGTTTATATCACAATTTGATTGAAGTTGCAATCACGTAACAAAGCATTTTGGGCGAAAAAACAACAACAACAAAAATTCAAGAAAAAAGATATTTATCCAAAAAAGTCAAAGTAAATACCTAGCGACGCTTTCCTCAATTTGAGCCTCCTTCAAAATTCTCTTTCGTTCGATATTACCAGTGGCATTGAAAGCCAAGCGAATTTTTGCTATAACGGATCCCTAAACAAAACTAATAACTTCCCATTAGAGTTAGTAAGACGTGTACTCACGTAGCCGACTTGTTGCAAGCTGGCTAGTGCACCTTTGTAGTCGCCTTTATCTCCTTGCAAAAAGTCCATCTCACAGTCGCCGTCAGAGTCAAATGCAGCCCAGTCATTAAAGCAGAACTCCTAAATTGTTTTAGAATTGATTTTGAAAGTTTCCGTTGTCATATGTCTTTTTCTGACCTTTCTAAAAGTATAAAATCCCGGTCGTTTCGGACAGCTAATCCCCTTCAGTTGGCTGGCTATAGAATCGGATACACTAGCATCGCCACTATCAATTTCGGTAAGGGACTGGCATACGTCACAATAAAAACTGGAAACGATTAGTTACGGAACAAAGTCAGTGGTGAATGGATTCATTCGTCTGGCAGACTGCCAAGTGTAAACTT